TTCGTCATCACCGGCAGCTTCGTTTTCGAAGTCTTCGACTTGATCTGCACAATTTACGGCGGCCCACCTTATGCTCTTGGTGTTCTTCCTCATACGATTCGGCTTGTAATTGCGTGTCAGCGCGCTTCGCCTTCTCGTGAATTGCGAGGTGAGACGCCTTCCATTCAACTTACGATCGAGCTCATTCACATCCCGTTCTCTTTCAGCACTGGGCTTGGATATGTTCTCTGCGCAGTCTCGCACAACAACGTGTATTCTATGGAAGATGCTGCGTGAACGGGCGCGCGTGGGAGTGACGATAGGGTGGATTGTTCCCTGATCCACGGACCCCATCTTCCAAGCCCGATTGTACGTGTTCTTCTTTCCCTCATCTCGGCGCGTGTCGACTCTCTTCCGGCGCTAGCAGCAGTTCGCGTACGGTCTGATTAACGAGTAACGCCACCAGGAACTCGTCGGGCGCCAGGCTTAGAATTCAGCAGCACCCCTGCCGGCGTGCTCTTATATCAAGAGCTGCTCAGTATTCACTCTCCGTCTATCTGTTCGGCACTTCCCCGGTTTAAACCCCCGCCGCTCTTCTCAAGCCCTCTTGCTTCTCTTCGCTGTCTCATCGAACATGTCTGGCGCCTCTGGATCGACTTCTTACTACCGCCCCGCCGCCGCGCGTGAGGAGGACGCCTCCTCACACTACGAGCCTCAAGTTCGGGCGTGGGTTGGTCATGGGCACATGCCCTACAGTCACGAACCTCCGGTGTGTTCGGATTATTGTCTTCATTGATATTTTCTCACGCTCTCAAAGGCTTTCTTCACCCCGGCTGATCCTTATCGTGTGCCGCAAAGCGTGTACAGGCAAGAGTATTACGACGCGGTCCCTCTCGATCACTACGGATATACCGCCGCGCACGGCAGCGCTGGCTACGCCTATCAGACCACGGACCCCGCACCCGCCCCGATCGCGCCCGCCGCCGGCTTCCCCCCACTCCCGCCGCACAACACAAAAACAAGAGAGAGTGGGCAGAGTTCAGTCGCGTCAAATGATGCGCCGTACCCGGTAAGCCGCTCGGTCTCTTGTCCCTGTGCGTGCAGCTAACCAAGTGGCAGGTGGAAGTCGACTACGCGCAGGAGCATCACAATCATCACGTACACTACGACGATCTGCGCGGGCATTACCCGCCGCCGCCGGAGCAGACCCCGGC